TTGGTCTTGCATTGGCTTGCACTGAATCACTTGTGGGAATTAAGGGCTGTTTGGGTTCATTTGGTTTTAATAAAAGGATGTGAAGCAATTTTCAGGCAAAAAAATTCATGATCAAATGAAAAATAAAAATTGTCCCTGATGATCCCACAGGTTGGGGTTGTTTGGTCTCAGATCAAAAGTACTGATCAACTTTTACACTTTTACAGCTCACTGTGAGAGAGCCTTTTCCCACTGGAATTAAAAGGACGAAACTTCATAAACTCATCAGTGTAGCGATGTTAATAATGATGATGATGATAATGATGATGATGATGATGACAAGGATAAACTCTTTCTGCAAATAATTTATGAAAAAACAACTCCGGCCCATCATGCCCCTTTGACCACTTGAATTGGCCCTATGAGGCAATCCTCAAACGTTGTTATGGAATATTTTTTTAAATTACTTTTTGGCAAATAAAAACTCGTCTACTCCTTGTATTTTGTAGATTTTTTTTGTCAATTAAAATGTGATATTTATATGAAGTATTTATATTTATATTTAAATAACTATATGACGTATTTACATTTGTCGTCGAATTTGCCGCTGAATTTTCGCCACCTGACAAGTTCTGAAGTGTAGTTAAGGAGAGCAAAATGGCTAGTGTTAAAGTGCAAAAAGTTGACAAAGAGTGCTGAGTTTTCAAAGAACAGTGGATGACCGATTATTGTTTTGTTCAGTGTAAGAACCGTGCAGTTTCTCTGATACATAAAGAAAATGTGGTGGTTTTCAAAGAATATAATCATCACAGTCAGGAGTGATAATGTGGCCCCCAGAGAAAAAAGTTTGGTGACTCCTGGTTTAAAGTGCATTGCATACAATAGTAAACCCCAATACATAATATACAGCGAGAAAAACAAGATCATTCAGGTTAAAATAATTATAATAATTGAAATTGGAAGGTGCTGCAGCTTAGTTGGTATAAAAGTTTGAGCAAATACACTGCAAAAAAAACAATATCTAGGTAAGTGAGTAAGAGTTGCTGTTTTTCTAATCTTAAGTGTAGCCAGATGTATTTTCACATATCAAATACAAAATGTCTTGTTCCACTGGTAAATAAATTTACTTGTCAGGTGAAATTTACTCAAATCATGATAAAAATGTCTTAATTCAAGTTCATGAGCAATCTTAACTTGGCTAGATTTTCATTTCTGCATTGTAGGTGTGTTTTTAGCTCACAAGGGAGGCCTCCAACGCCCCAGAACTTTTTTTTGTTTCCAGAATTTGACCTCTTACCTTCAGGCAGATGATTTCAAGCCATAAAATACAAACACACAGTATTTGTGTATAGCTTTTACTGTAAGCTCTATGTTGAATTGTGAAAGTTTGATAATGGTAATTTATTAATATTTATGGATGCTTGTTATTGAACTCATATTGTATTGTTTGTTTTATGGCAGGGCTTATGAACTGTTTTTGTTTTTTTTTGCCTAGTGTTTTGAGTGAGTGCGTTTGTGGTCGGTATATAAATCTCCCCTTGAGGACATTAATGTTTACCTTACCTTAACAGGGTATCAACAATTAAATCAGGATTAATGATTAAAGCGTTATAAATGGAAAACCAATAAAACACGCTGCATTACACACTTGGCACGGGCAGATCTAGTGCTTTTTATATGAGCTTGGTTGGAGTGCAATTTTTTTGAAGTTGTTATTCCACCCCACTCAATTTTGTTTCTGACCGCTACTAACCTGTTGCATGAGAATCGGTTTCCTTAAATCGAGAAATTGTTAAAATATTAAATAAAATTTGGTTGTTCATGAGCATCAACAAGACAACAATGCACACTCTGCGTAGCTTGTAGTCAGTATATAGGTATTTGCTATTGAGACCTGCAGCTCCATCCAAAATGATGATAACCACAATGATAATAGGTCATGGCAACTTCAGGAATACGTTAATTATATCTATTAAAGGTCCTATATTACAAACAGACTTGGAGTTGTTTTGTTTCATTCACACACGTATGAGTAATACTATATTATTGTTCTGTTTACGTCTCTAAATCTCAAAATGCTCTGTTCAACCATGTGATGTCATGTAGTGGTAGTTTTCAAGTTAAAAGCAGCATTTACCTTTAGCTTAGTAGAGATAAGCAATTCCAGGGCTGAAATTGTGAAATCCAAGTGATTCTAGTGAACGTGTATGGAGTTTAAAAACACAGTAGAGCACTTCCTTTATTACCTCATGACATCACAGAACAGGGTGTTTTTTGTTTGAGAGGAGAACACAACGTAAAAGTGCAGGGAAACAGAAGACAACTCCAGGTATGTTTTTGATGCGGAAACATTATGACAGTATAATAATTGCAGCAGAGTCCGAGCGTATCCGTGATGACAGCTTTACAGTGTTTGGAGTACCCATGTGTGCTGTGGGCAAATGAGGCCACGTGCAGATGTTGTTCACTCGACAAGAAAAAACATTTTCGTGTGAACTTACAGCAAGGAGCATCTGGAAGTGGTCTGTGTTGAGACTTCAAATACAAAGAGACGCAAATAAAACGGTTCAAATCAGGGTTAAAATGTGTCAGTTAAACATACACCAGGCCATATTAACGGATAGATAAAAGTAATTTGTCTTGCCCTAGTACAGATATTGTAAAAGCAGCTCAAAACAAAGACCACACTGTACTGTCTGCATCTACTGTATTTTTTGGACTATAACTTGCTGTGGAGTATAAGTCGCACCAGCCAAAATTGCATAACGAAGAAGAAAAAAACATATATAACATATATATTGCACCGGACTATAAGTCGCACTTTTTGGGGGAAATTTATTTTAAAAAATCAGAGACCAGGAACTGACATTTAATCTTGAAAGTCAATAGTAATAGTAATAACAATAGAACAGAGAACAACAGGCTGTTAACGTCACATATGAACTAGGGATGGGCATGATTAATCGATTAATCGGTAATTGATCATTAAGAATTTCATCGATTGCGTTAATTTTAATCAGCAAACCGAATGTAGGTTGCTGTGCGTAGCGTGACCAAACAGGGGTCTGTACATGTAGCTCTCTGCACTCAGAAGGAGTGAGACACAAGCAGTCGGTCAGTCTGCAGCGTACCGAAGCACAAATGCGCATTTAACGATGATTTGTACAAGAAATTCCACGCTTTCCATTGCGTTCGGGACAAGTGTGAGTCCATGTGCACAGTGTACAAAGCAGGAACATATGTTTTGGTGTCCAGTGGGAAAAAGCTTTACCAGGTGAGAGTCGCGCAATGTCGATGACGAGTCCCCACCTCCCACCCCCCGTACGGTGTCCTGGTTTTGACAAACGCAAATCTGGTCACACTAAACTGTTTTTCACTGAATCATGTCTTTTAATCTAACAAAAGTTGACCGCATCAGCGACACAAGAGCTGTAGTTTTATCTTCGCTGAGTTTATGCAAATTAGCAATGCGGTTTTAAGTTTCGTTTTTGTGAGAGTTGCGCAAAACTGAATTAAACACATTATAATGTCAAATGGATTGATGTGGCTCTAGAGTCGTTACGGTTTATATGTCGTAAAGTTGAGTTTATTTATGCAGATTAGTAGTGCAGATAGTAATAATAATGATGATCATTTTAATATAAAAACATTAATGATTAACTATAACTATAGCATAAACAACAGAACATAAGTTTACCAAACTCTAGATCTCACTCAAAATCACAAAATCCATTGAATTCTTCATCCTCAGTGTCACTTCTGACCAACCCTGCAACCTCGCGGTGACGGCAATGGAGCGCTGCTTCCTCTTCTGCGTAGCTGTCGTCAGACTGAGCATCAGTTCCAGTTAGAACTAGAAAAGCCTCCGCCAAGGACTACCCTCATTTTTTATATAAATTGCGATAAAATCAGTCTTCTGGATCAGATCCGGATCAGCCTTTGGAATATGAAAGAGGATCCCATTGTCCATCCTTGAGTCAAATTTCATGGAGTTTGGTCAATAATTAACCGAGATATTGAGAAACAAAATTTTTGGAGCCATTTACTACAATGTTAACTAAAATTTCAAAGTGATCCAGAATCCAGGATTTCTTCCGGATCACCCCCAAAATGAAATCAGTTCTTCCTTTTCACATTTCCAACAAATCCTGAAAATTTCATCCAAATCGGTCCATAACTTTTTGAGTTATGTTGCTAACAGACAAACAAACAGACAAACAAACAGACAAACGCCAGCAAAAACATAACCTCCTTGGCGGAGGTAATTATTCCGACCTTTCTGAACACTGACAGGATGGTTTCAATCCAGGCTTTGTCGATCCATCCAATGACTTCCAGGAAATTTCCATGGTGTACCCTCCCGATTGTCACTCCCTCACTCCAAACTTTCTTTCTGCTGCTTCATTACTGTTTTCATCTGCATATTTTGCTACTTGCAGCTTATACGTTACAGGACCACCCAAACCATGAAAAAAGTGCAACATTCGAAATTATGAATCATTTATCATCCGCAAACCAGGAAGTAAGACTAGAGCTGGATGCTAGTTGTTTTTAACATTCCCGTAATGGAAAAACTCTTTGAAAGTTGAACAATTAGAATGCTAATTTGCTTTATAGAAAAGAAAAAAAAACATGCTTAATGCTAATAAAAAAGAGCTGTAGGCTTATTTTTAAAGGCACAAGAAACAGGGTCAGGTCAAAGTTCAAACGAAAGGGAACAGTTCACAAACTTAAAAAAAAACCTTAGTGATAAAAAAATTTTGTGTGCTAAGTTAAAAGTGCACTGTGTAATTTGGGGACAAAAATATAACATCTCTACCAAGAAAAGCATTAGACATTCCCTCTATCAGAAAAGTTACACAATGCACCTTTAATGAGCATTTATTCACAGCTACATCCTTTGTTGGAAATTGTCTTTCAAAATCTCATCAAATGCTTTGCGCTAAGACTTATTAGTTCTTAATTCTTCAATCCAAATCTAAATTTAGTTAAAGTGTGAATTAGTTTAACAGCTCACTTACCTGCGGGTCCTTCCCTATCGAAACGCAGTGCTCTCTGTTTCCAGGCAACGGGGGCCAGTGGATCTACACACACAGACAAAGCCGTAATTACAAATGGGCTCATAACTTCACAATATTAAAACACAACACTGGCATCTTTCCCAATGTAATGAGTGAGTGGGCGACCGCAAACTTCATCTTCATTGCAGAGTTGTTAAATTTCAATCATGCGGATGGGAAGTCTACATCATGGTGATTATAGGGGCTGGAGTGGCGCCGGATTCGTAATATGGATGTATGAAAAGTGTTGAAACCAGGAGCTGAAATCTGGGGAGAGGGAGTTTGACTTAATTGAGACAAGACTGGGTCATTTATCATCTGAGGTCAATAAAGAAAAGTAGCTGGCCATAGAAGTGCACTGGAAATGAGCTGGGAGTAAGATAGAAAGAAGAAGTTGAAAGAAGATTTCACTGTTATAGTTTCACCACATACCTTAACTAATTTGTATAGGCTCTTTATGACATTGTAGTGTAACCATAGACTGTATAAATAAATGGTCAAAGCTAACGCGCTCCAAATAGGGAGTTCTCATGCTGCTCTTCCGGCTCCTTCTGACCCTGGCTCCCATTGACTTACATTGGAATATTGTCACCCCTCTCTCTGTAACTGCTGCAGTGAGCCTTGTCATTTTGGCCTTAAAATGTTTGTATTAACATGCTCTGCATGATCTTGGTGGCATTTTTTTCACTATTTTTCTAATATTGAGCCTGGATCCACATTCGCTCCTGTAACCATTAGCATTTCATTCGTTAGCTTCATTTGAGTGGCACCAAACTCTATGGGTGACGTCACACTCGCTTAGTCCACTTTTTTATACAGTCTATAACTGTAGCACAGTCAAATCTAAATCACAGTTTAAAGGGATGCACCCATATGATACTGGAATCAGATATCGGCATAGATATCGAAAACTTTGAGGGATCATTTATCGGTTCCAAGATATCAGTTAAGTCAGTTTGGTCTAAAATTGGTGTAGTAGAAAGACTTACTGACCAATGTTGACCCAAAACACCTCATATTGTTGATCTTGCGTGTTTTTTTCAAAGTGGTTTCTTAGTTGCTTTAACAACTAAGAAACCACGACTAAGAAACCTGTTACAATGTACATTTAGATAAGATGTAATTATAGACCATTTATATTCAAAGAAAATAAAACATTTTCAGTTTCTATCCTAGTATCAGCTGATATCAAGTGTCGGCAGATATTTAAAGGTGCATTGTGTAACTTTTCTGGTGGAGGGTCCATCAATTCCATCTCTCATTTTATTTGCTTTGTCTGGAATGTTTCACGGTATGATATGAAACCTTTCTATCTTAATGGAGACCAAAGTTACAGGTCAGATCTGTGAAGAGGCAACCCTTCTCACAATCAGAATGCCTGTTTTTCTACAGCAGTACTTGAATAAATGTAAGGTAGAGCTGTTTAATGTCAAACTGTGAAACATTTCAGGTAGAACAATGACATATCTATAGAACCAAGCAAGACCAACAGAAAAGTTGCACAGTGCCCCTTTAAAGCCAATGTATCCACATCAGTATCGAACAGAAAAAGCTGGATCGGTGCATTACTAGTTTAAAGTGGTGTCATTTTCAAGTTGCAAAGATTGTAGGCAATAATATTTCCTCTAAAAACAACTAAATATCCCTTAAGAAGTGATAAGTTTAGCAGCCAGTTTGTATTTCAGTCTTCTCTTAAATTTAAATCCTCGTCTGCGTGTTTAAAAATTGCAAGACAGACTGAAACCTGATTGAATCGCATTTTTTCCCACAATCGAGCAGCCCTAGGAGACAGCATAAGTTATGGTCTGGGCCTTGTTGTAGAACCGTAAAATGCATTCATGAGACCCAAAATGATTGGCTGTTTTGTTGCTCATTTTGTCAAAAGTTTCTGTGTTTACCATGGACACTGAACAAAATGTAGTTAAACAAAAATGCATTTTCTTGGCTTGTTCAAAATGTCTGTACACTAAGGCGCACTATTTGGCTTCAAGGCTCTCTCATCTGCTCAGAAACCTTAATATATTTTACCATTGTACATCAGGCAAAAATTAGAGATGATTGTAGTGGAGATCATTGCACAAAGCAGTGATCACTATTTACTATTGATGTGACCATGCATGCCAACTGGCTCTAAACGCACATTTTAGAAACGCCAATGATTGATTTTCTTTAAGTGAATAATGAATAATTCTCTATGCTAAAAGGAGGCCAGCTATTTTGATTGCCAGTTTAACTTCATCAACACAACTCCAAAGAAATGTCCATTACCAATCATGCACACAATTTACTGACTAACTCATAGACAGTATAAAGAAGTGGACTAAGGGAGTGTGATGTCACCCATAGTGTTTGGTTCCAGCCAAATGAAGCTCAGGTGGCTAATAGTTATGGGGCGAATTTGGCGTCAAGCTTTATGTTAGGAATAGGAAATTATTTGCAGAAAAAAAACAAACTGCAGAATAAAAACACAGGGCTCATGTAGAGAAGGTCAATACGAACATTTTATTACCAAAATGAAGAGACTCACTGCAGCAGTCACAGAGAGATAATTTTTCAATGTAAAGTAAATTGGAGCCAGAGTCGAAAGAGCTGGAAGTGCCCCCATGTTCACTTCCTGTTTGGAATGGGCCAGCTATGTCCATTTATACAATCTATGGTCTAACTCCAACTTTCTCTTTATCCCCTTATGTAAATTACACTGATCTTATTGATGACTCACATTTTAAACCACATCTGCTCAGAACCTTTTGGATACCTTCCATCTTCACTGTAATGCTGAGTGCTCAAGTCTAAAGAGCTTTAATCAAATCCTCAGTGAGCCCCTGGAGTGAATATCTGTACTGTATCATTTTAAAATTCATCTCCTTTTACTCATCTATTGTCAAAGCTCTGAGTCTTTATCAGCTGAGTGCAGATCTCAGATGGGCATGAAATATGGACTTGGGACAATATTTCTTCACCGCACATGAATAATGCAATGTTGTGGGTGACTGTAGGAGGAAATGCCCTGAGCTTTCAGTGAAGTGGATGAATCAAAGCAAAGCAGTACTCTGTGGGACAATAGGCCTTTGTTGGACCAGGAAGAAGCCAGTCTTGTTTTGGCTCAAGGCGTGAATAGAAAGCAGGGCAAAACCTGCTACGAAGCTGATGATTTGAGTTTAGATTTGTGGACAGTAGAGCTGGAGGAAAGAGGAGATACAGTGGATTCATTTAAATTGGAACATTGTGGTTTAAATTATGGGCAACTAGTAGTTTTAAGAACCATTGGTGTACGGATAATTTGAGCCAGAAGGTTTTCATACTACTACAGTCCTAAACAAAGTTGTTATCAGAGTTAAATCTATTAAAGCCACCTCAAGTGAAACTGGTTGAGAAACACATAAACTGGTCTTCACTAACAGACTTAAACAGGGTTCCCACTCTTTTTCACTGACAAAATTTCAAAACTTTTCATGACTTTTCATGACCTACATATGTAGACTTGAGCATACTTTTAGGGCTAAGTATGAAATGTTAACTCTTTCCACTCACCTTATGGTTTGGTATTATATATTATATTTTTTAACATTCAAAATACTGTCAGTGCATTTATTGCCATCTTATTATTTCCAAACACATCCACAAAAGGTGGATGTGTTTGGAAATAATCATAACAGCCGAATAATAACTTAACAGAACACTGTAGTTACCTGTAAGATACTAAAATTCCATGACTTGTCCAGGATTTCTATGACCGTGGAAACCCTGCTTAAAGGTGCACTATGTAATTTTGTTGGGCCCATCACTTGTTTGCCTCCATGGAATGATATTATTTTCCTGGAATGTTCCACAGTATGGTATTAAACTTGTCTATCTCTATGAAGATAAACATTTGATGTCAGAAAGTCTACTTACAAGTCAGATCTGTGGAGGTTTTTCAAGATTTTTTTTTCCATTATCTTGTAGAAATAAAATCACCTGTAACTGAATAAATGCAAGAATAAAGATTAAACATTCCAAAGCAAAACTATAATTTTGTTATGAAGGCAAGCATTGGACCTCCATCTGAAAGTTACACAGTGTACCTTTAAATTTGTAAACAAGACAATTTATAGGTCAGATCTCAGAGTAAGAACAGGCTATTTTTATGTTTTTCATTGTGTTCTTTTTTTTTTTTTTTTTTTTTTTTTAGCAATGAAAGTAACTTCATCCTGTGAGCTTTAAATCATGTTATAATGTTCTTACCTCATCAAAAACAGACTTGGAGTTGTGTTTTGTTTCATTCATGCATGACTAAGTAATTTTTTTATTATTAGTCTGTTTATATCTCAGCTCAAAATGCTCTTTTCCACCTTGTGATGTCAAGTTAACAGCTACTTTTTACCTTTAGTTCAGTAGAGACCAGAAAAATTTATATCACAATAAAAATGTGAATGAAACAAAACACAACTCCAGGTATGTTTCTGATGAGCAAACAGCATATATAGATGACAAAATTACATAATAAAGACTCTTTAAAAGATCTAGCAACAAAGTAAAAAAAACAACTTTTTTTCTTTTTCTTTTTTGCTCCCTGCACCTCTAAGCCCAAGTTCCGGGAACATCCTGCACCGAAGAAGAACAGCGCATTACCTGCATTTATCATGTTGCTCCAGTTACCACTTATACTCCAAGATATATAGGCCTCAGTCATATTAATGTATGGATTCTAAGGCCATAATGTATAGATACGTGCAATTCATCTTTATTACGAACATGTCTCCAGTGGTTTTGACCCTGCACACCTGTGAGGCAGATGGAGAAACTGTTTAAAATAAGAAATGAATTATCGCAAAGAACATATGGGGGAGTTTTGTTTCTTTTGCCAGAATCTGACTTAAAATCAATTTGTTTTCTAACTTTGATTGTTAGCACATTGGAACCAGGCTATAAGTTGGCTTGAAATAGTTTGATATATTTTGAACTTATGTGTGTATGCAAAAGGTGAGCTCATTTGAATACAGTGTAAAATCAATCCACTTCAAACCTGAGGACTTTTTGAGCCA